CCTTCCTCATGAGGGGAGTTCTGCAAATAATTGCATCTTTGGAAAGCGGACTGGCAACCGTAGTAAGACTTTTAATGATGTTTTAAGAGGAACGGTGATGCTCATACTTCTACTAATAAATTTCCTTAGTCGCTTCGTACGACATCCACAGGAAAGGAAGAGGTAGCCCATTGTATGCCAGGACCACAGGGAGAGACGCTGGCGCGGTATCAGTAAAAGTTGAGGAGGATGAAATCAGATTAGTTGGTCAATTGTAACTACCGAAAATTAACTATAATAATTTTGCAAGAGGAACTAATTCACGCGAGCAAAGCAGCGGGATACAGCTAGTGCAAAATATTCAATGGTATTGTTTCTTTTTGTGTCATTTGCTTGTACTAAGTATCTGTGCAAAATTTATTGGCTGATAAAATATTTAATTAAAGTAATAATCATTGTATGTTTGCCTTATATAAATAAATGAATAACACTTTAAAAGTACATCTAAAAAACAAAATGGAGGCGGCCATAAGCAGCGATAATGATCTATTGAAATACCTTATTGATTGAGTGATTCAAATTTAAATAATGGCTGTCATGATAATTCGATATTAACTGAGGTCTTTGCAGGCGTATTTCTGTAGGTACCTAAATACTCAGAGAAGAGGACATTTGCATTCTTTTTTTTTATTGTTTCGTGCTGGGAAGAAATGAATAAAATTTACTGCAATTGAAATCAAGAAATCAGATTACTTGAATGTTCGCGATTAGATAGTAATAAAGTTTTTTAATATTAACAATCTTACTAATAAAATGAATGAGTTTGTTCTTAGTTTGTTACTTCTGGCGCTTTAATGGTTTAACCAACCTCTATGAAATTTGGTATACAGATACTATACGCAATGAAAGGGGCGAAGGGATTGTTAATTATGCGAACTACCAGTCCTATTGCTAATAATATACCCTGTCAGGTCGACCTCCTCGTGGTCGCTGCTGGAAATCACCGTGCTGAATTCCAGGTATATTTATCACGATGGGCCAACCGATTTACCTTTTCTTTTTCGCCTATCATCCCTCACTGGTGCCCCGCCAGCGCCAGCTGGGTTACCATTTCATTATCATCCATTAATAATATTAGAAATACAGGATGAAGAAAAACATAGGTTATGTTTTATCCTTGTCAGTGACTATACCTTGATCACGTAAGCAAAGTCGCGGGTAACAGCTTAATAGGTAGGCTTAAGTTATGTTGTAAAGCCAGTCAGTTAGTAGACATCGGTAGCTCGGGATTACTCGGTTCTAGACCACAATAAGTACGTATGAATTATTAATAATATTATTCGTCATGTAAATGTATGTATGCTATTACGTTTATACATATATCATCATCATCACCATATCAGCTCTTAACTGTCCACTGCTGAACATAGGCCTCCTCCATAAACAGGGTTTTACCAGTAGTTGTCACGCTTAGCAGGTGGGTTGGCAATCGCAGTTAGGCTTCTGGTGATGTTTAGAGAGGAACGCTGCTGCCCATGTTTCGACCATTAACTTCCCTTAGTGACCTCTTACGACACCAACGGGAAAAGTGTAGCCTATTCTATGCCGGGACCGTTACCGCATAGAACGTTTATGTATACATTTATTTATTTATATATATGTATATGTATATATTAGTACATAATAGGGCCCATGTACCCTTTAACCTTTTTTCCAATAGTTGTCTGAAAAAAATTGCTTAACAATAAGGTCGTCTTTTGTATCAATAAGTCAATTATAGATTATGTTCTCCCACTGCTGGGCGTAAGCCTCCCTCAACATTTTATATCTCACAGGATTACTGGTAAAATCTGTATCACTTTGCATTAAAATTAACTGTATTTATTATTTTTGTAACTGGCGAAACAGAGTTTAAAATAAATAAATACAATAATTAATTCAAAACTGTACCTTTCTTTGAGGTGAATCCACGATTCTTTATTACCAGAGAAGACGAAAATATAAAATTACTATTTTAATTAATACACAGTAAGTTAATTAAATACCCGTTACCTAGTATTGTAAACCATTGTTAAAAATAAATATCAATTTTCAAAATAATACTAAAAAAAGCACTTGCCAATTTTATTGTTTTCTTTAGGATTATTACTGATATAAACTAGTTACTTATTGCAGTGAAAAGAGTTCTTTAGAATGTAGGATTATGCACACTAATAAACTTATAGGTGACTTTATATTGTCTCTGGCAATTGTCCAGCGTAGCAATACTCCTCTATCACTACTCATAAAACGAACTCGCGTCACGAAGTATTAAAAATTTTATAAAATTTTATCGATGTCCACCCGAATTACCAGCTTTACTGCATATTCTCTTTTATAAATTCTCTACATTGTTATGAAATCCATACATTCAGAAAATACTACGTAGCTTTATTGCAGTTTTTTCACAAATTCTTTCCTCTCTCATACGGTGACATCAAGGAACCAATTTTCATATTCATTTATGGATATATGTATCCATTTGATTTAGGGTAACATATATTCTATAAATTATATTAATTTAGAACAGGGGTTCCTAAAGTTATTTTGTCTACTGCCCACTTTGAGAGTAAATTATTTTTTAGCGCTCCCATTTTTTCAACTACTTAAAAACCACTATTACTTCAAGATCAACAAATTACCCCCCAAGCCCACATTTTTTTCTGAGTCTTTTACCGCCCCGCTTTAGGCCTGCAGCGCCCACAAGTGGCCTAATCGCCCACTTTGGGAAAGGCTGATTCAGAATATGCTATATATATAGTTATTCAATAATTAAATTATACTCAGTTCTGCTGTTTTGTAATTGAGTAACAAACCTTTAAATATCCACTTTCAAACATATTTAAGTACCTAAATATTTTCAGATTTATAATATTATCTAAAAGGAAGCAGTACCTAGAAGTAACAATAGATTAACAACAAAGATGATGAATTTGCTTTAAAGTGTTTTGTATATGTAGGCAGTTTCATAATATATTAGATACAAACGAGACCTATAATTTCAAAACGACCAAAATAAAAATTTGATATATATAATTTATTAGATGTAGGTAATACCTATTAAATTAGAGAATAATTTATCACAATGGCAATAATTATGTACTTACTTAAAATATTAAAAATATTGTACGCATATTTTGAACATGAATACGTTTGTTGACTCCTAGACTAGGAATTGTTGAAGAAGTTCACTGTAGCATCTTTGAAGCATATGGAAAGTTTCACAAATTGAAAATTGGAATCGACGAACCCTTCTCGTGGTCTTGACAAGTTTGATCAAAGTTATAATCGAATTTGATATAATATTTATGAGCCACCAATATTATGATACAGAATTGAAAATCTATCGCAGATACCTAGTAATTTTGTTCGCGTGTCTCTATTTCATTATAATGGGTTATATTTGGTATTATTTAATTAGATTCTACCCTATACCTACTGTAGAATCCCCAAGAACTGTTACATTTAAGAAATCTATCTATGATCAATACGATAAATATTTACATATACTTTATTATTTCAAAAGTTGCATATGAGTTAGGTAGGTACGTAGGTTAATGTAGTATTTTTTTTGGTAGGTATAGGTACAAACAGATTACCACGTAAAAGAGATTATACCACCTCTTATAGGAATTTTTACCTACCTATTCAGTACCCATCAATCAACTACCTATACGTATTATTCGTGCAGTTGTTAGTGTGTTATGTAAAATGTTGCCGCTTGGTCCTGTCATAGAATGAGCTACCCCTTCCTTTTCCGTAGGTGTGGTAAGAGGCCACTAAGGGCACTTAATGGTCAAGGGTTTTTTTTAATTGGTGACAATGGAATGGCAATTCCACCCGCGCTGTCGGTATACACCGGCAGGGCTCCAGTGAAGGATGATAGGTGAGAATGAAGCAAGTCAGTTAGCCCATCGTGACGGATTCAACAAGAATTATTCACGATGGATTCCAAAGGGAACCACGTGGAGGTCGACCTAATAGGGCATATTGCTAGTAATGGGGCTGTAGAAATCCATTGCTAACAATCCCTTTCTCCCCAATATGGTAGAGGGATGGGCATCAGCATCCCTCTTGAAACATCACCAAAGCCTAATTGCAATTCTACCTACCCTAATTCTACCTACGGGATAATATTACTCTTAGCAACATCAAATGTAAATTAAAACGATACTGCTTGCATGATTTTAATACAAATTAAATAGTTTTAATGTATTTAGTATTAATATAAACCTACGTAGTTTCTGAATGCTAATGTAACATAATTTCTGTAACTGGAGATTCGAACTACTCGATTTCTTTAACCGTTAGAGACAGAAATATAAATAGTATGGCGCAAAATGTAGATTTTTAAAGAAATGTCAAATTTAAAAAAAAAACTGCAGATTCGTAAATTTGAGGTGGTTGACCATAGAGGTGACTATATGTAGATGATAATGAGTTGACCATGCCTCAGCAGTTTCTTTTCGGATATTTATAATAATGTTGTTATTTTATAATAACAACATTACGTATATACTTAGTTACTATGCAATGAATATTGTCAGTTCATGTCTATCTATTATAAAATATTTAAATGAAAAGTAATTTTTTATACTGTATTTTTTATAAAAACGTTACTACATTTTCTTTTCTAAAGAACCGTTTATACCGCCATCTATACAGAAAACTGCGTACTTTTGTCGAAAGATGCTTTCAGTAAAAAGTACTCGTAAGCGATGTGTAAACTATAAACAATATAGCGCCCTCTATAATAAACGTTGTTATTTAAATTCTATCGTCTTCCATCAGAGGGCTCTGAATACTATTTTGTTTATAAAATATATTTGTTTATAAAATAATTATTTATAACAAAAATTTTATATTTCAGTATCTTTAGTAATTGTTTTGTTCGTCTAAAAATATTTGCTAACTGGAAATACAAATAAAACTTTGTCATACAATATCAATAACACACAGACATTGTATTGACTGACATCTATCACTATGACTGACACGACAATATCTGATTGACTGTATCTCATCATTATATTGATATTAAACGAAATTGTTTTTACTTTTGCTGTATCTATAATCTAATTTATAGGAAATAATTACTTTTGTAAGAAAAAATAATATATTACAATACTCACCGACTCGTCCATCCTTCGAGAGAAGCGCTTCTGAATTCCGGTTTGCACTTTTTGTGTTGAGCATTACTAAATTTGTTCTTAATTTTCACACTTAATTTTATAGGACTGCTAGGCAGTTTAACATTTGATTTTATTATGTTCATCGTAACTTTGTGCTCATTTATACGTTGTCCAGTTTTTTAGATTACGTTATGGAAACCACGGAAGATGCTCTAATCCCTGAACCTGACGACGAAGAATCTGACTCAGATGGCGAGTTTGCATTTGAAACCGATCACTTGGCACTACGGGGCAATAAGGACTACTGCAATTTACTCAAATATATAGTGAAACTGGAAGCTCAAAAAATTAAAGCCCTGCAAGACATTGAAAATTTGGCTGAAGCACGAAATAAAGCTTTGGATGATCCTATTACATTTGTTCACAATTTGAAATCCGGTAATATTAATTTTCCACCAAGACAAACAATAACTGACATACCAAATATAAATTGGAATCAATATGGAATTGATGTATCATTACTCGAGAGCGAAGGAGTTGTAGACACAAATTCAAATAAAGAAGACTTGGATAATATAAAAGTAAGAGGCAGAAAGTTCACAGACCAAAAACCCGAAACTTTCAATCAGTTGTGGTCATGCGAAGAGCAAAAACGATTGGAGGAATTGCTCGAGATATATCCCGAGGAGCCGATAGAAGCACGCAGATACAAAAAGATAGCACGGGATCTTGGCACACGAACACCAATACAAGTCATGTGTAGAGTTCAAAAGTATTTTGCCAAATTAGCTAAAGCAGGTTTACCAATACCCGGAAGAGCTCCCAAGGGTGTTAGTGCTAAAAATAAATCTATATTGTACAAGAAATCTACATTTTTCCCTCAGTTACATGTGCCTGTCAAAATGGAAGATCCATATGACAGTAGTGATACACATGACAATACATCTATATTAGAAACTAAAGGTAACAATAAATCTAAAATAGAATTATTGAAAGCGGCAAAGGACCAGAGGGTGTTGGATGAAATATCTCCAGTGTATCAAACAAACATTATGTGTGTTGGATGTCAGACTACAGGATTCCTTGGTGCGAGATGGACTGACAATGCTGGGACAGACTTTTGTACAGATTGTGTAGTTCGGCTTTTACCAGCTGAGAGATTAATACCAGTTCGACAACCTCCAATGTAAGAAGGTGTTTAAAAGTGATAATTATGCTTTTTTTAACTAATATAAATGTACCTGAATATAATTCTTTTAATACAATATCTAAGTTATTTTATTATTTTAGTAATTAGGTCATATAAAAATTTTGTCAAGATTTGTGGTACAAAATCTGTTTTCATCATATATCGAAATTGAATATTTTAATTACAAATATTTTACACAACTGACAAGACTATTAGTGAGCAAAAATGGCGATTTTACGTTATCACACACTGGCACAATATATTTTTTCACCCTAATTGGGTGAAAATTTTTCCAAAAGATTCATATAACCCACTTGTTCAAGATGACCTAGATTTTGTTTTTATTAGTATTTAAAAAAATCCCTGGGTACAGACTTGTCTGAATATTAATTTTTTTTTTTCTGTGGTATCATAGTTTGGTGTGATTGTTGAATGTATATAATATACTGCAGTTAATAATCGTATTAAAAAAATATGTATAATCTGTCTTTTTATACTTGGCTATTAATTATAAATTTAAAAAATATTATGATACCAACATGGAATATGAAATGAGAATCATACAAAGAATTCAGTTTAATTGACAACCTTTTTAGAAATCGGTTCAGTATTTGAAGATTTTATTATAATAAACAAACCTTGTAACTTACCTAACTTGGTTGAAGTAATTCTTTCAAACTATAAAACTAAGAGGAATTTTTTTGTACATAAACACTATAAAACTTTAACAAATCATTAGGTAAAAATAATTTAATGAACATTATATCCAACATTGTCAATATTTATCCGACTTTGGCAAAACGAGAAGTTAAAATACTTACAGGGATTGTAATAAATTTCTATTTTAAGAAATCCTATAAGTTATATTCCAAGTAAATTTAATAAAAGTCACTTTACGGTTGCATCCCTAAAATGACGTCTTTTCAAAGGCAGGGACGTCGCCGTGCTACCTGCAATTATGACGATGACGATTGTGGTCTACATGAAATGCAAAATTGATAGTATAAAATACATTGCGGTCATAATGCCCCACTTAAAGTTAAACGAGGTTGTTTCTTAGGGATTTTATCGTATTCACTTGTCACGATCGACGAATTTTTACAACTTCAAAAATAATTACACAGGTATTTCATCAAACTCTTCAGCGTTCATAGACACTTAAATAATATTCCCAGTATTTTTAGCCGTCTCTTCGAAAATAATACTGAGCGTTCTTATACACAATAGAGACAGTTCTAATCTAATAAACTATAAATAAATAAATAACGTTCAGATAGGCTTTCAATCAGACCCCTCTGAGTGGGGCACCCGCGGCGACTGATGAGGAGCCACTGGATTGGAACAGTGAACACGGCTCACTCAGCTAATAGTACGTCCCTATTCAACTATATGTGCATAGTGATCGAGGGATGATGAGATAAGGGCGACGACATAAACTTCATTCAATCTCTTGGTTTTAATAACAAAAAAGATAGTATATATATATATATATACACGAGTATATGTGAATTTTAAATCATATTTATATGTATGGACCGAGGATTAATGACTCTATTGCTAGTGATATACCTACTCTGTGTGGTCGACCTCCATGCGGTTCCTCCTAGAAACCATCATAGTTAATTATCAGAATGTATATTGAACCTCGTATATCATACTTTACTGGTATCCACCAACTAGGATGGTGTAGACGGAGTACCCTTTAATTATCATTTATTAAAAAAAAACTATATCTTATTATCTTACCTTGCTAATAATAATTATATTATGCTAAAGTTTATGAACATATTTATTTATTTATATCTAATATTAGACTGGCCATATAGTCGAGGTGTTATTTGCCAGCCCGCGTGGGTCCCCCATGGGCCTAGCTTGCAAGGCGTGCGGTGGAACTGGTGCAACTACCATTATCTAGTCTCGGGTTCTGGGCTTATGGTCAGCCAATCGGGCCTTTCCGGCCCAGACCGATTTTGCATATTTGTTTGTTCTATTACATTAAAGAACTAAACAAATTTTAATTAAATTTGGTGCTTACACAAGTGAGTCATATTTTAGATGTAAGAGCAGTGCCCACACTATACTTTTATTTTAATTCACGCGAAAAATATCGTGAGCAACAACTAGTCCAAAATAATAGTGTGCTGATTTCAAAAGTCGGGACTTGATCATAAATCATGAAAGTAAAAAAAATGTTATTTAGTTTTCCACCTACACCATCATATAATAGTAGGTGCCTTAGGTACCTACTTAATGTAGTTTAGCTGTGTGTAGATCTGTAGTTCCCAGCTTATTAACAATATTGGACACTTCCTCTATTGTTCAACGTTGGTCATAAACTTTTAGGTAGGTGGTGTTTGAAATATAACACAGTCTTTTAATACTAACTTTTGCATTTTATACTAGATAATGTTTCTCTAAAATGATATGCTTTCACAAAATAAATAATAATTTTGAAGCATTTCATTATATGAGGAGGGTTTTATTAGTAGCTGTCACGCTTGACAGGGGGGTATATAACCGCAGTTAGGTTTTGGTGATATTTTAAGAGAGACACTACTGCCCAACTTTCGACCATTAAGTTCCCTTAGTCGTCTCTTATGACATCCACAGAAAAAGGAGGGTCGGCCTATTCTATACCAGGACTTCACGGTATAGTCGTTTGTTGGTTGTTTAATTACTAACTGCAAAATAATACAGAATAAAATTGTGGCAAATATAATTTTAAAAGTATAGTCAGAGACTATCCACCATTAGAATCTAACGTGGCGTATTACCGTCACTCGGATTAATTCGATTTCTTATCAACGTTTAACATCACCATTTAAAACTTAGCTGCGCCTCTAGGGGATGGTTTCGGAAACTTAGATTTCTATATAAAATTATCGGGCAAACTTGAATGCGATCTTAACGTAAATCTTTGTACAACTCACACTTGGCACTTGGATAGTTAGTTGGAAAGTTAAATTGACACGCAAAACCTTTGATATGAATACCTATATTACTTACTAACTATGATTATATGGAAGAAAGGATTATTAGTAATGGAGACTAAGAGCCCCACTAGCAACATACCCAACCAGGTCGACCTCCACGTGCCCACCGCCCCCCTCCTAGAAACCATCGTGCTGAATTCCAGGCCTACTCATTACGACGAACCGAGTTGCGACAAGCTATCATCCCTCTCTGATACCCTACAGGCGTATACTGATAGCACAGATGAGATTACCATTCCATTGTCATTCTTTAAAAAAAAAACTATATAATATTTTAAATTATATAATATTTTTCGTACGGAAGCAATCATAGATATCATATAACGTATATAATAAGTAACGTATATACTAAAACGAAACAAGAAAATGGTACGAGTACACTGGTGAGTGTTTTATAAATTTACCAGAGAGAGACTTTGTACAAAAGTCGATTGCTTGGGTACCTCTGTCCCATTCGTGTTTCTACCGTGAAGCAGTTGTGTTTGCATGGCTGTGTTTCGGTTTGAAGGGTAGGATATGGGTTGAATTTACAGGGTACAGAGGAATAACATCTGAGTCCTCAGGAATGGCAACACTTGGGGGGATATTATAGGCGAATCAGTATACTCTGTTATGTCCATGGTACTATTCATGTCTATAGGCGACGGTTACCACTTTCCATCATGTAGGCCGTCAGATTGTTTGCCATTCTAAGTTGTAAAAAAAAATGTGTACTACGTACACGTACACATTTTTTTTTTACTACGTAAACGTGTCTATTCTAAATTTAGATGAAATTGAAGTTGCGGCAATAGCAAATTCACATATTTGTTATAATTTGAATTTCGATTCATGGACGTTTAGAATGTTATTTGGCTTAAATTAGATATGTATTGCCACCAATCCTTATACAAAACAAAATATTTTCGATTGTTCTATAACATTGTATTTAAAGAGGTAAATGTTTAAAGTACAATTACATGAAAATTGTGCGATTATGTGTTTTTTTTTTTATTTATGTAATATCCAGATACAGTACTCTTAATTCTAACTACATTATCTTAAAACTAATTCTACTTCAAAACGGAAAAATAATTAGAAATTGTTTTATTCATTCTCCCGCTAAATCAGCTTTTATGATTATGCGATGTATTTTGCTTTTCTATCTCGTTCTAAAATACTTATATATTACTATATTTATAAAGCATATAGATTGACTATGTCAATCTATATGCTTTATAATCGTACTTGTGGTCCCGGTATAGAATATGCCACTCCTTCTTTTCCTGTAGGTGTCGTAAAAGGAACTTAATGATAGAGGTATGAACAGCAGCGTCCCTTTTAAAACATCTCTAAAAACGTAATTGCGGTTGCCAACTGGCATGCATTTGAACCTTCTTACAAAAATAAAGATATACTAATTAGTTTAAAAAAATTAGGCGAAGAAGCAGACAAATTCTGATAGCGATATTCTTTTATACCACTTATTTAGAGATTGTGATCTAACATTTGTACTTAAGCTTTTTCATGTTTAGGATAAGCAGAGAGCTATTTATTTTACTTTATACTGATATCTATTATACAGACTTACTTTTTCATCACAATATTACATTACTATACCCGGTAGCGCATCAAATAGGAGCATGCTTGATAGAGAACTATAATGTATGTATGTACATATGTAGGTAATTTAATAAATTTAGGCTTCCTGTCAAAGCAACTGCACAGCGGTTTGCACCAAAGTGCACTTTGGTATTTATGGATTTTGGGTAGGAGTAACATAATTATTAACTATATAGATAACTTTTCCTCCTAAATCGGTTCGCTTTGTTCAACTTTATCCATCCTACCTAAATTACTTACCTGCTTGTCGGTAGGCTTATCAACAAACAATAGGAAATGAAATAATTATTAACAGCAAATTTAATGATGAATATATTTCTACAGAAGTTATATTTCGAGTACACTTCACTAAGCATATTTGGTTCCATTTTGCATACGACCAAATTGCATGTAATGAAATACAGATGTCATGCAAGTGTGTGGCTTACATAAAGGGAAATGTACGCAGATCAATTGCATAACTGTCCAACATTTGTACAATCC